CAATAGAAATTGCATCTCAATGTCAAGAAAATAAAGACTCTTATCAGAATAATGCTGAATAATGAAAAATAATAAGGTTGCATTTGCAAGCCAAAAGAACATTTCAAGATCCATCCTGACGTACAATGATATGAGTAATAGGATACTATCCACATACATACAAAGAAGTCTGATTACTATATTATCCAAATAAATGCTTCAACCACTAAAGCAGAGATAAAGATATTGATAACTTCCATCAAATTTTGTAGTCTTAAATATATCAAACGTGCAACTACGATGTACTAATAATAATTGATGACTGGAAAATAGGAACAAAGATGAAGTTCTGATAGTTGGATAATATGAACTTGGTGACAGAAAACAGGCTAGAGGTAGCACGGAAAAAAACCCATACAATGAATGATTTCTTCATTGCAAATACCCTTTTTAAAAAAGCGTAAGTGTTAGCTAACATGGACCTCACCTGATAGACTACACAGGAATCGAACTGTCTACATTCCTGGAAAGATTCATAGAGAAACTCAATTGTTGATGTCATTATTATGTGTCATTTAGTAATCTATAACTCACTGAGATCCTAAGAAAAATTGTTCTGAATCATGGCCTATCCTGAGCCAACCTTACCATCTCTGAACACATGACCCCATTGCCACAGTCGGTCAGTCCATCTCATCCAGGCTTTTTCTCTTCTGCACTGAGCCTAAACCCTTCCAAGCCTGATGTCCTTCTCCAAGGACTTATCTCTCCTGGCCACATACCCAAAGTATATAGACAGAGCTTCAAAATCCTTGCCTCCAAGGAGCAACCCTTTCCAGGACAGATCTATTTGTTCTTTTGGTAAAACATATAGTTCAGTACTCTTCTCCAGCACCACAACTCAAAAGCATTGATTCTTCTGTCATCCTTATTCAGTGTTTAACTCTCAGATACATTGCAAGCAACTGAGAAGATCATGGCCTGGATCTGTCACATCTTAGTTGCTAAACTGACATCATTGCTCTTTAGCACTTTGGAAAAATTCTTGGCAGAAAACTCTCCCAGTGAAACTTGTCTTTTTATTTCCTGAATGCTGGTTACAAGAGTGTTTATTATGG